TTGTTCCCCCCCCCCACTCACTCATTTGATTTTATCCCTATCTTTTGGACTGAGTTTCTATTTTTAGTAATCATGGGTATCATCTAGTTTTTCTTTCCCTCTTTCTTTCCCTTCAGTGCTGATTGATTATCTTCTCCTTTTCTTCTCCTTCACTTCTTTTTTACTTTTATTTCCTTGTTTTGTTCGACTTTGCACTCTTTTTAACTAATTTTTGTTTCTATTTTCCCTCTTTTATCATATTTTTCTTTTTTCTTTCTCCTTCTCTAGGACGAATTCCACCCCTTCATCGAGGCCCTTCTCCCTTTCGTAAAGTCCTTCAGCTACACCTGGTTCAATCTGCAGGCAGCCAAGCGGAAGTACTACAAGAAGCACGAGAAGCGGATGAGCATCGAGGAGGAGCGGCGTTGTAAGGAGGATCTTCAGGTAAGCTACCAATTTGATTAAAATTTTTAGGAATTTCAAAGTAAAAATCCTTTTCTTTTTTCAGAACGAACGCATCGAGGTGAAGCAAAAGTGGGCCTCGAGGCTGCTGGGCAAGCTGCGGAAGGACATTACGCAGGAGTTTCGGGAGGACTTTGTGCTGGGCATCACGGGGAAGAAGCGGATTCAGTGTGTGATGAGCAATCCCGACCAGAAGGGCAAGATGCGGCGGATTGACTGTCTGAGGCAGGCGGATAAGGTCAGTTGTAGTTTTTTTGCTGATTTTTCGGGATCAGTTTTCTGAACATCTTTGATTTTTAGGTTTGGAGACTCGATCTGGTTATGGTGATACTCTTCAAGGCAATTCCCCTCGAGTCGACAGATGGGGAACGGCTGGAAAAGTCGATTGACTGCCTTTACCCGAGTCTGTGCGTCAATCCCTATCACATTAACGTCTCGGTGCGGGAGCTTGATCTCTACCTGGCCAACTTTATCTTCTCTCATGGTAAGATCATGTTTTAAGGTTTTTAAAATTTTTTAGGTTTTTTCTGATTTTTTTTCTTCTTTTTTTGCAGAGCATTTGCGTGGCATTCCACAGCTGTACGGTGGAGGTGGGCAGGCTACTGAGCAGGTGGTCGATGATGAGGACGAATCTGAGGAGGCGAAGGTGGCCATCATCTCCTCGACGGCAGCCTCTTCGAGCAGTGACATTAACAACAATAACAGCAGCGGCAATGCTGAAGGTTCTCGAGAACTTCTGAACTTAAGTTCACTGGCTCGCACGCGGCAGCACCTCTTCAACAGTACGAATAATCGAAACTACGCCGAGGCGCTCTTTCCCTGCGG